ACTTCTGAGCCAAATCCCTGGCCCTCCAATTTTTTTTTTTTTTTATTTGGTTTTGTACCGGGAACCAAACTACATCCCTGGCCCTCTAATGTTTTTAAGTATGTTATACTTTTAAAAACTTCACTCCGTGATCCATTTTTAGTTAATATTTGTCTGTGATATGGCAAATTTAACTTCATTCTTTTACATGCAGTTAATTATTTCCAGCATATTTTTCTGTGAAAACTATAATTTCTCTACTGTGTGCTTTTTAGCGGCGTCAAAAACCAGTTGACCATAGATGAATGAGAATTTGTAGAACTTTCAATTCCATCTCACTGATTTATGTCCTTCCTATTATACCAGTGTCACACTGGGACAACTTCTGTTACTTTGTATCAAGTTCTGAGACCAAAAGTAGGAGTCTTCCTATTTTACTTTTGTTAAAATTATTTTGGCTACTTAGTGTCTTTTGTAACTTTACGTGAATTTTAGAGTCAACATGTCAGTTACTACAGAAAGGTTAGCTGGGATTCTGACAGGGATTATACTGAATCTCTATCAGTTTGGAGACTGTTACTGTCTTCTCAGCATTAATTTCTCTAGCCCACAAATATGAGACATTTTCCATTTACTTTGACCTTCTTTCCTTTCTAATCAGGCAATGTTTCATAATTTTCATAATAGATGATTTTATACTTTTTTGTTAAATTGATTCCTGTTTATTATTTTTAAACTTATTGTAAATAGAATGTCTTAAATTTCATTTCAGATTTTTTATTACAAATTATATAATTTATCTTTGTCTCTTGCAGTCTTTATGAACTTATTAGTTCTTAGTTTTATGTTAGATTCCTTTGAATGTTATATATGTAAATTTGTATTGTTTGCAAATAAAAATGGTTTTTCTGTTTTCTATCCAGTGTGGATGCTTTATATGTCTTTTTCTTTTTTTCTCTCTTTTTTTTGGTTCTGGGGATTGAACTCTGGCCCTTGTGCTTGCGAGGCAGGTGGCGAAACCACTGAGCTAAATCCCCAGCCCTTGGATGCTTTGTATTTCTTTTTCCTAATTGCCATGACTAACACCTAGACTAAAATATTAAACAGAATTGTCAAGAGTCAACATCCTTGTTTTATACCTGATGTTAAGGAACATGCAGCTTTTCATATTTAAGTGTGATATTAACTGTAAAGAGAATTTTAACCAGCAAATGATTTGATTTCTTGGTGGATAAAGTGTATGCTGTAGAGCTTCAGCATCATCACTAAATTACGTTTGGCAGCCTTCCTTACTCCTTTGGTAAAGCTGCTGCAGAGGCTCCCAAAGTTGATTGTGCAGTTGTTCAAATCCATTTGGACCATGACAGGTGGTGTTGCCCTGTGTTTGGGACGTCTCTGCCATCTTGGCATTTTAATAAGCTAAAGAAAATCATTCATTGATAGTCATTAGTCAGAAAAGACAGTAAGGATATAGGAATGAATCACATTGTCTTCTAAGTGAATGCATCTCAGTTCTTCCTGTGTGGGCAGCATTTACCTGGAGCAGCTGCTGTATGTACCGGTGCAGAGTTCTTCCCTCACCCTCATACCATCTCCCACCCTTTTCACAGCCATGTACAATATCACTGGTGACTGTGGGCCCTTAAAGCTTGAACCTTTTGGAAATACCACATCTATACTGCATTTTGTTAATTGTCTGGTGATTAGGAATATGAGAAAAGATGAGTATTTGTTCCTTTGATGAATTTTAATAGGTTCATTTTAAAGATTATAAGTACTATATAAATTTTTACTTTTGTTTAGGTTAACTAAAAGGACAGTAATTTAATTCTAAAATCTTGGGAATAAAGTGCTATATGAGATTTTATTATTGTTGCTGTTATTATCTATTATTATTAATAATATCTATTATTATTGCTGTTACTGTTATTATTCTAAAGGTCAGACTTGCTTTTAGGTAAAGCTCAAACTATAGTCTTTTCTACAGTTCCCTAAGACACATTGACTGACAAAAATGACAGATGCAAAATACAATTTTTAAAAGATTCAGCAGGCTGTCCTATTAAATCCTGTTGGTTTAGCATCATGGAATTTGTCAAGAATAAAATAAACGTATTTATTTAAACCTTTAAAAGAATCTTAACTCTGCTGTCACCTAGAGACAGTTGTTTCATGTGCCTGCTCTTTATTAAACTTTCCCAAAAGCTGCCTCCAAAGATGATAGGGGACAAAGAGAAAAGGTGGGTGTTGTTTGTATATAATGTTTATGTATTTTCTATAGAGTTGTACATTCCCTAGTGCCTGCTCAATATGTGTTGTCAGTTTAAAGCATTTGTGTGCTACTAAGTGAATCTGAATCCTGCTAAAAGATGCCATTGGGTTTATTTTCATCTTGATTGAAGTTGCTACATCCTAAAATCCTGAGGATGTAGAGTAATCTGAATAAAAATGAAGGTCCCAGAATCATACTTCTACAAACATGATTAAGAATTTAACAGCAAAGCTCAGTGGAGAATACTACTTTCCAACAGCCTATGCCAAAATACTTTTGTAAGAGAGTTTTAGTTAGTCAGCACGACTGCCGCATGAGGAGGCCCTTGGTGTGATGAGGACTGCCTCACAGGATGTTGGGATTCAGCAGAGAGCACCCTGCATCTTCTTCATATGTCTTACCTTCTGAAGTTTTTTTGTTTTGTTTTTTTTTTTTTTGTACCAAGTATCGAACTTGGGACCTTGCACTTGTGAGGCAGGCAGCGCCACTGAGCTAAATCCCTGTCCCATCTTCTGACATTTTAAATCACTCAGACTGGAGCATCAAGCTAAGATAGAGGAGTTTAAACACATTATACACCTGCATGGTCTAGGGATATCAACTGAAAATATGCCAGACTTTTGTAGTTACTTTTAGTAATGTTTTGGTTGAATTCTGAATTGTTTACTTCCTGTTTCTGAAATACCGAGGTGCTTTCTCTTTTCAGATGTCTGGACACACAGAATAGGAGATTAGTTGGTCTGCAGAAAAATTTGTTTAAAATAGCATCTGCTTCATAAGACATACAGTTTATAACAAGATTGGCTTACAATAATTCTAACTAAGTCATGAAACAGTGCTCCACTAACAACTTCATAAACTATTATGTGGCTATTCAGAGGACAAGTGCTATTTGTTTCAAAATTACTTCCTTATTTCATCTCTCAAAGGCTGTAGATCTGTATACTCAGTCTAATTAAAGAGGGCTGGGGATTTAGCTCAGTGTTGCCGCTGCCTGCCTCAGAAGCTCAAGGTACTGAGTTCAATACCCGGTACCAAAAAAAAAAGTCTAACTAAAGATAAGGTGTTTAGTTTATTTAGGCTCCATTAAGGTAGACTATATGTTTTTTTGGATAATCTGTCAAATAGGATTTAGCACTATTTTTAGCATAATCTAGTGAATATTTAGTTTTGAGAGTAATTATCATTTGATGTAAAATTGAGGGTATCAAAGTATTCCAAAATTGGCAACTAGTACATTTTGTCATAATATCAGGAACTGTTGAACTAGAAGAAAAATCCTTACAATACAACAACATAACAATTTGAAAGTATTTGCTGTTCAAAATGAACATAACTTTGTATGAAATTGACTTTTTGATAGGAAGAGAAGCATTAGGTCATTGTTTCTCCATGCAACCTGTTGAAAAGCATAATACACATACCAGTCAATGCTTAGCCCAATCCTCCCTGCCTTCTCAGATAGATGAAGTGGCAGGACAATATTTTTATACAAAAATGATTTCAAACTTTGTTTCTTCCTTAGTTTAAGCTAATAAGTTGTAGACATATTATGAGCCACTTTTCAGAACTATTTTCTAATATTGCAAAAACAGGTTGTAGGAGAGATTAAGTTAGTAGATGAGTCTACGGAGTAAAACCTCAATGAATTAATTAAAAAATTTAAAATCTTTTACAGATATATTCCATAAACATTTCACAAACATGTCATGTGCTCTATAATGCCACAATCAGTTTTACTTTACAAATAAAAATATAAGCATAAATGAATTTGATGTTAGAAGGCTATCATGGGTGACTTTTTTCTGAAGAAAATTTTATTGTAATTCTAATACCAAAGACCTATGTTGGAGACCTATGCTATATGGTATATTTTTTTTGTTTGCTCAACCTTTTTTGTTGTTAAAATGTTCTCTTTCATACGAAAGTCATTACTGCCACCTTGTGGTACTTACTTTCCTGTGGCCAGATTTTTTTATTCTTTCCCTTGGGTGTTTTTTTTACCTGTTATTTAGTGGTTTAGTCTTTCGTATACCTGCACTAGTTTCACCACCCTATTGTGGTTAAAAGCTCTTCTGCAGTACCTATGTCATTTTGGTCTTTATCTCCTTTGTGGTCTCTTATAGATATTTATTCAATGTATTTGAATAGCTGAGTATGGCAGCTGCTCATGACATACTTAAAAATTAAATCACTGTCTACCAAAATGGAAATAAAAGTTAGTGATGTGGTTTATGCATAGTTCTGTTGCTTGGCTTGCCAAACAAAAAGTTTGAAATATTTTAGTTTGAAATAGAATGAAATATAATTTCTTTAATATTTTGCTTTTAGGGATGATTTCTTTTTAAAAAAAGCAGTAAGTTCTCATGGCTTCTTTTTTTACCCTTTTATTTTGCAGCTTTTGTCGTTCCTTCAAGGTTTATTTACTTTTTATCATGAGGGATATGAACTTGCCCAGGAATTTGCACCATATAAGCAACAGCTACAGTTCAACTTGCAGAATGTAAGACTACACCTTTTTCTACTGCCTTTCTTTAGTGAAGCTAATGACCACAGGACAGCTCAGTCATAACCAAGTCAAATCTTAGAATCTTTCAACATCTTGTCACAGTGTGGTAAACCTTATAATTTAGAAAATAACTTTATAAGTATATTTTTTCCAGATTCTGCCTACAAGTAAGCTTAAAAAAAGAAGAGAGAAGCTAAGCTTGTGTTATAATAATTTATTCCAGCAAATTTTATATTGCCTAAGTGTAGACACCTAGAAATTGGAAAATATTTGCCTTTATCCAGTCAGTCTTTTCACTAATTTACTGTATGATACAAGGATTAATTCCTGACATCTACTGTACAGAAAATGATAGTTAATAATAGCTCTACATCATATACTTGGAACTTGTAAATTCAATAAGAGTGCAGAACTGAAATATACTTCACACACACACACACACACACACACACACACACACAATGCATTAGTTACATTTCTGTTGCTAGGACAAAATACATTACTCCCACAACTTAAAAAAGTGTATTTGGCTCATAGTTTCCAGTGGATTCATCCCAAAGTCTCCTGCCTCCAAGAGAAATAGGGCTTGGTCGAAGGACCTAGTAGAGGGCACCTCTTCATCCTTTGACAGCCAGGAAGCTGAGAAAAGGGAGGATCCGAGAGTGGAGGAGTGAGGGGGGTGAAAAGAGGGCAGGGGTATGGGGAAAAATGAGAATCAAGACCTTTCATGGAAGGGCACAAGATCTCAGTGATGAATGTAACTGTACTGTATATCTAAAAAGTACCAATAAACTCAATGAGAAAAAAAAATACGCCCTTCCAGGTCAGGATCCCAGTGACCTACCTCCTCTAACTGGGCCCTGCCTCCCAACAGCACAGTCAGCTACTGAACTGGTCAGTGCATGAATCCACTGATAAACACAGCGCCCCCATGATTCAACCACTTTCTAAACATGAGATTCTTGGAGCACATTTAAGACCTAAATCATAACACACACAAATGTGGTAATGGATATGTTAGTTGTCTTGACTCTTAGAATCATTTCACAATGCATACATATAGCAAAACACCACGTTGTATACCCTAACTATATACAACTTTTAGTTGTTAAACCTACCTCAAAACTGGAAAAAAATATTGACTTTCCCAAAGGAAGCCTTATTTGTTGAGAGAGCAACATTTCTACATTTGTTAAATGAAGGTAGTGTATTTTAACACTCTAACATGCCATCTCTTTCTGAATTTTTTTGTAAAATATGTTATATTGTTGTCAAATAATAGGATTTGAATGTGGTTTTGAAACATTCAAAATAACTGCTTTAAAGCCTAAGTGGGAATTCTTTACAAGCAACATATCTGTTTTTCCAAGTTTATTTTGTGAAGTTGTCTAATCAGTCATTTGAATCACTGATTGATGGTTTAACAATTTCTGATTTTCAATTAATGAACCGCACTTATAAGGGAAGAAATCTTTTGCCATGTCTGCATTGTCAAACCTAACAAAGAATAGATTTTAATTCCGACATTATTTTCTGTTACTGAAACCCTGAGTATCTAATACTCTAACCAAAATAATGTAGGACACCTTTACTTAATTTTCTTAAATCACATGTTTCTCTGCTTATCTGATTTTTGCCACTGTACAGATGTTCAGTAAGTAAAACTATAAGGATTGTGTTTCCCATGAGAAATGTACATTTGAATTTATTCTACTTGTGTGAGTTCTAGTTTAACTTAGATTTTCTAGCAAAATCAGTTTCACCTTTAATTCATTTCTCTTTTCAACATGAAATACACTTAGAATTGAATATTAAATAGGAAAATTATAAAAGCCAAAGTATTCTTAGGATTTATTTCCATACTAAATACAATTATGTTTAGCATCTTGGAATTTAGGAATGGGATAATAAGAAAGAAATGGGAAAAAAATCTTGAATCCTTGTGTTTGAAAGAGAAGAATAACAAAAAAAGTCACAGGAAAAATTTTCTAGCCTACTTTGAGATTCACTTCTTGTATTACGGACCATAACAAGCTCTCAGATGGTGATGATTTTTATGTTTTCAGACACGTACAGTATTATATAAGTTAATGCGATGTGAACACAAAAGAGATTTTCATAGGGAAAAGCCTACTGCTGCTTTAATCTAGCTTAAGTAAACTTGCACTAATGTGAGTAAACCATTTCTTGCAAAAGAAGTAAGAACTTGGACATGCATTCATTTTTATGAATTAATTTTTTTTTTATTGAGTTTATTGGTACATTTAGGGATACAGTACAGTTACATTCATTGTTGGGATCATGTACCTTTACATGGCAAGTCTTGATTCTCATTTTTTTCCCCTTACCTCTGCCCTCCCTTCACCCCCTCCTCCCCTCCCCATCTACAAACACTTTATTTTCATCTTTTCATTCTCTCACATTTTTTTCTTTTCCCTTTTTGTTCTTCCCCTACGTATCACACCTTCCCTACACCTTTAGCTCCTTTCCTCCCATTTCTAAATGTCAGTAATCTTATTAGAATCTTATGCATTGTTGCAGAATATTCACACCAGGGAAACTATTCGGTATTTACACATGTGGGACTTATTTATTTCACTTAGGAGTATATCTTCAATATTTATGAATTAATTTTTATACCAATCTTTTAATAACTATGTTATTACTTCTGAAAATCAAGCTATGTAATATTTGTTCAGTAAACTTTTGAAACGAGAGTAGATTTTTTTCTTGATTTACTCATTGGCATTTGTATGAAAGATATCAAATTTTTCCCTCAAGTCAAATATATCTCCTTTTAAATTATAGATGTTAGAGAATTCAAAACTGTATTTATCAGATCTTACATATTTTTAATTCTAAGTAGTAAAATTAAAATGTGAAAATAAGAAAGTCTTCCCTTCATACATTCATGTATAAGCACAACACAAAGATTATCAAAGGAGAAAAAGTATAGAAGTTCATTCAGGGAAGTTTTCATAAAATAATTTAAAATCATATCCAAGACTGAACATCACAGCATCATAAATATGTTTAATAGTGCCAAAAGAATCAGAGCTACCTTTTGTGCCATTTGTTGTTTTTGAAACTTCAGTGGGAAGGCTTTAAACCTGATAGGAAACAGTAAATGAAATTCTTGTTTCTATTTACTGAAGACAAGGAATAATTTTGAAAGTACACGACAAGAGGTAGAGCGGTTGATGCAAAGGATGAAATCTGCCAACCAAGATTACAGACCACCTAGCCAGTGGACAATGGAAGGCTACCTTTATGTCCAGGAGAAACGTGAGTCAAAAGGCATAATTCATGTCTGTTGTGATAATCATGTTTCTTTAGGAATATGGCTTCGTTGTTATTGTATTCTTCACTTAGGAAGACTGAAATTCCCTACAGCTTTGACATATTTAAAACAGTCTGCTTTTCCATCACTATTATTGCCACCACTTCCAAAGGAAGGAATTTTCCAGTTTTGGCATCAGGTACTCTCCCATCCAAGAACTAACCAGACCCAAACTCTGCTTAACTTTCAAGATCAGACCTGTTCAAGGTGGTGTGGCCAGCCACAGACTGGCATCAGGTACTCCAAGCTGGGGTATTGTTGAATTTGGAACTTGCAGTCTGCACTGACCATACATAACCTAAGTTCAGTTTTAGAATTTAATTGTGGTAACTCAATTTAAAGTTTCATAGAAAATTGAAAATCAGAGTCTTTATCAAGATGAATCATCCTGGCAACTATAATAACAGTTCTTTCCCTCCAGCAGAATTATTTCATTTAATTCTCCGCTCTGTCAATTTTTGGAACTGAAATTGGCAATTATGTCATGTCACATTGACACTCTACTTCCTGGGTTTAGAAAATAAGTACCAGACCCAATAGAACATTATTGTAATTGCCTCATGTTAAGAAAATTTTTCTCACAAAAATTAATAAAATGCCATTCAGTCTCATAAAACTAGGGTCCTTTCCTCCTATTAATTGTCATTAAGTACAAGCAATTTGAAGATTTTGACTAAATTAACTTTATTTCCATAAGGTATGCCATAAAAGCTGTTCCTGTACTGTTTTATGGTGGAGAGACTATTGTAATTTCAGTCCATCATGAAACAGTGCCTCTGTAAAATACAAAATCATATGCTTAGATTTTATGGCTATGTTGAATTGCTACAAAAGTTTTGAAATGCTTGTTCTACTTTCTGTACTTTTCTTACACATTGGGACTTATAAACACATAGGATAGCACTGCTCTGAAGTCTCCATGTCAGTAGGCAAGACAGTAGTGAAATTGTTTTATTTGGTAAAACAGTGTAGTCTAACGGTTTATGATAGAGAAGCCCACAGATACAGACTTGGCTGTGAAAAGTTTTTTACATATATACAGCACAGTCACCAAAATATCATTAAATTTTGCATTTGAGATGCCTAGGAGCTGTTGGAAAGCAGTGTGCCAGCAATTAACAATTTCATCATCAGACTCTGCCAACATTTATTACCCTGTGATCTAAATAGCAGAAGGACACTGGCCCAGGAGATTTGGGTTCCAGGATTTTCTGTGTCTTTATGGTCAGTTTGTTCTTTGCAGATCTTTAAATGATAAATCTCAGTGACCTTCCTAGCTATCTCCAATTAGACCATGATAGCCATCTTTCACCCCACCCCTCAACTTGTGAAGAATGACCAATGAATACATTCACATAGAGATTTGGTTTATACTATAGCTCTGGCTTGGGAGTTTAAAGAAAATTTTGATGATATTAAGTCAGGTTTGAGAGCCTCCATGTGAGGGTACACTGAGAGGTGCTGACATTTGCATTGATGATGCATTTGGCAAAATAGAAAAGTTTCTTGGCAGTTTCCTCAGACATGCAGTGGGGGTAGAAGAGGTGCCATCTTCATGTGTATAAATATGCTTTATTCCTTGTAGCCTAATAATTTTTATTTCTTGAGTTCTTCACAGGTGTTAAACAGATACTTATGTATAAATATTTTATTTTTATTTGCTTTATTTGTTTGCTTTTTTATGCTGGGCATGGTAGATCACACCTGTAATCCCAGAACTCAGGAGGTTGAGGCAGGAGGATCGCTATGAGTTCGAAACCAGCCTGGGCTACATTAGTGAGTTCCAGGTCAGTCTCAACTACATAGTGAGACCCTATCTCAAAAAAACAAAACAAAACAAAAAAATCAATATATATTTGTTTGCTTTTTTGAGACAAGGTCTTGCTAAGTAGCTCAAGCTGGACTCAAACTTGAGATTTTTCTGCCTCAGCCTCCTGAGTAGCTGGGATAACAGGCGTGTGCCACCACACCATACCTGGCTAATAGTTTTTACTTTAAAAACTTTAGGATTACCTAACAAATTTATTTTTAACATAATTTTCAAATACATCACATTCAGTACTGATTGGTGGTAGCTCGTCCACTGGATAGTACCATAGCTTCCTTACCTGGGTCCTAAGCTGCTAGACATTTGGGTCAAACAGTCTATAAGTATAGGTCCTTTAATACCATGTGGGTCACTTGGGTGGACTAAGTACAGAGTTTTAGGGGCTTAGCTAACGTTAGTATCTTTTGTTGCAACATACCTGACTTTTTCTCTGAACTAATCTGATCATTAAACTTTTTGTAGAACTGACCTTACCTCTGAGGTTTTTTGTATGTGTTAATGATATCTCCACTCTCCTAAGTCACGTAGCTGAAGTAATCCTTAATTCAAATTTCTCTCTGGAGCCTAATGCCAAATCTGTTTTACCTTCTGGGTATCCTTTAACTTTACTTCATGTCCACCCACTTAGCCCAGGCCAGACCTCTGAGGCAGTTTCCCTGAGTGCCCCCAGGGTGTCCAGCCTCTAATGGATCCCCTGTGGAGCTTCCTGCAGAGTCTTCTGCAGAGCTGCTGTGGCGATGTCCCTCAGCAGTGCCTGACACTGGACCTCTCACAGTTGTACTCTCTATCTCTTTTTAACACCTCTCTTGTGCCTTCCTCTCCCAACATAATTTCTATCCTGACTTCCTCTGTATCTATCTGCATTATTTTTTATGGCTTTATCGGTATATAATTGGCATACAGTAAATTACACTGGTTTAAAATTTACAGTTTAATAATTTCACTATATGTGTACACCTCTGCAAGCATCACCACATGCAACATGAAGACATCACCTTCAAAAGTTCTCTCTTGCCCCTTAAAATCCCAACCTTCTGTCTTTTCCCACCCTCTATCCCTATTCCCCTTGCCTAGGAATTTAAAAAGAAGATGTTTGAATTTGCATGCTTGAGAATTATTTGTCCATGAGGGGCAAATATTCAAAGCCTCTTCCAACTTGGAATCTTTGAAAGCATTTATATAAGAAAATTTGACCACTAAATGTACTAAGATATATAATTGTGTGCTTGCTCTCACGGAGTAAGTTCTGTGAGGGCCAGAAAATGAAACAAGGAATTTGGTTTTATAGTATCTTAGGTAACTGAAGGCCCTATATAAGTTCAAACAGTTGGCAACCAGTGATCAATACTAAATCTCAGGGCTGTAAATTGAGTGATAATTAGTGATGGATGTGATGGGGTAGAAACAGCTCCGCAACTTAGACACACAGCTTCAGTTTATGCGGATGTGTGTGGCATTCACATCACCCACCTCGAGGAATGCACAGCGTCACATACTAAAAGACTAACCTGGAGGGGTGTGAGTTCCATAGTCACCTGTATTGAAATCCCACGTCTGTCACTTAACTGAGGACACACAGCTTCAGTTTATGCGGATATGTGTGGCATTCACATCACCCACCTCGAGGAATGCACAGCGTCACATACTAAAAGACTTTAACCTGGAGGGGTGTGAGTTCCATAGTCACCTGTATTGAAATCCCACGTCTGTCACTTAACTGTGTAATTCTTGCCATTTTCAAAGTTCAGTCTTCATTTGTAAAAGATAAATATTTATACTTATCTCCTAAGATGTGGCAAGAATTAGAAATATTGTACACAAAATGTCTAGTTTTAGTGGAACTTCTGAAGGTGGCATTAAAAATCATAGTACTGTTTACCGTGAGCCCTTACTATTCTGTACAATGTGTATTTAGTTCAATTCTTAATTTAAGAGCATTAGTCCTCTAATATATGGTTTTTTTTCTAATATATTCACATGCCCTATTCAAAAAAGTACTGCCATCTGCAGCTGCTAGGCTCACTTTTCTTATATGTAAAATAGTCTCCTGTCTGACTTAAAAGGTTCTTAGGTAAAATGTAGACTCTTAATAAGTATTTAGTAAATGTTAATTCCCCTACTACTCCTTAAATATTCATCTCAGCAGCCTTAGATGATTACTAGTTAAGATAATTAAACTTCTTTTTATTTTGCAACATGAAAGTTGTAATAAATTTTTATTTTTCTAGACACTTTTAGGGACTTTAGAATTACTTGTCTAAAAACATCTGCCCTGGCCTACTGCCAGGCAACTTTAAAAAAAAAGCAGCATTTGTGCTCAATAAACTTGATGACTCAGTGCAGGAGGTTTTGAACTTCAGGTGAAGACAGAAAAACACATCATAGGTCTAATATGTAGTCCAGGCATTGCAGCAGCTTTATTTTAAAATTATAACTAATAATGCTTCATAAATCATTAGCTAAATCCTAAGATCACTGTGATTTTCATCCTGCTGTTTTCCACTAATCAGCTCTAAGCCTTTAAGTATTTTTACATCACATATAAGAATTATCAACAAGTATTTTTAAGTATTATAATGTGACATTGTCCCAAAACAGAACTGAAGTTAATTGCAATAATCCTTTGTGATTATAAAGTATATGGCTACACCCCATAATTTAAAAATCTGGAGTAGCTTAGTACTAAAGTACACCAAGAGTACTATTATTAAAGAAAAATAATTCAAATGGCCTATGAAACACTTTTCTCAAAAGGTGCTTCTTTATATTTCAGTTACTTGCTTTTAAGTATATGGTTTTGTACTGGGCGTGGTGGCACATGTCTATAATCCCAGCACTCGGGAGACTGAGGAAGGAGGATTGCATTGAGTTTGAGGCCAACCTGGGCTACATAGTTCAGAGCCAGCCTCAACTCCAAAATGAGACCCTGTCTGATGAAACACTTTTCTCAAAAGGTGCTTCTTTATATTTCAGTTACTTGCTTTTAAGTATATGGTTTTGTACTGGGCGTGGTGGCACATGTCTATAATCCCAGCACTCGGGAGACTGAGGAAGGAGGATTGCATTGAGTTTGAGGCCAACCTGGGCTACATAGTTCAGAGCCAGCCTCAACTCCAAAATGAGACCCTGTCTGTGAAAAAAACACACACACACACACACATATATGGGGGGGTGGTTTTGAAATCAAGCCAGCAATAACATTGTGCATAGTTCTTGCTAGAGAAACCCAGGTGTTAAGCAGTATGGGTCCCCAGGTGAAGAAGCTTTATAGAAAATGAGCTCAAATTTTGGCTGAATCAGTCCACTCTGGCAATTGGGCTCAGGACACTTGGCTTCCCTGTGGGAAAAACTGAAGGTCTTGCATTTTGTTCATGGGAAAAACTGAATTAAGGCCGAAGACTGCTGGACTGATAGTGTAGCAGTATGCAGCTCCTTAAAGAGAATACTGGGTGATAGCATGGCATGCTATGGGAAGGGTGCACAGTATTTCTGGGGAAGAAGAAAGTAAAAGTATGCAAGTTTTTTTTTTTTTACTAGCCAATCTTATTTTCACCTTTAGGGAGTAATTTGAATTTGTTTCTTTCAGATTTGTGGTCAGAGGATGTAATTACAAGATCAGCAAAGTCATAGAGCATGATGAATGATTAATTCCTTCATATATTTGTCAAATATTGAGTATAAGTTGTATAGCTGACTATTTTCTAAGGATTAATATTCTAATCAGCTAAATAGCCTATGTTCCTACTGTTATAGAGCCATAAAGCCTCATGGCAAAGACAGATAATACATAAATCAATAAAATTTATCACATTTAGACAGTTATAACTGTTCAGAATAAACAGATAAAAAATATCCAGGTGAAGGTGTTGGCATGCTGCACATCTTCCCAGGAAAGGCTGTATTATAAAGGTGGCATATAGGAAAAGATCCCAAAGAGGTGACAGTGAAAGTCATACAGATATCTGAAACAAAAGTAGTTCTGGCTGAAGGAATAGTAAGTATAAGTATTCTGGGATAGAAATGCATTCACCATAGTCAGGGGCCAACAGAGATGTCAGTATGGTTGGAGCAGAATGTATAATGCAAAAGGTGATAGGATGTGAGGTGAGAGAAAGACAGAGGTCTGCAGGCCAGATCATGCAGTGCCTAATGGATAAGACACTTTTTTAATAGTACCAGGGATTGAACCCAGAGACTTCACACTGAACTGCATCTCCAGCTCTTCACTTTATTGTTGTTGTTGTTATTGCCATTGTTATTATTTGTAGTATTTTCTCTAGAGTCTCACTAAGTTACCCAGTCTGGGCTCTAACTTGAGGTCCTTTTGCTTTAACCTCTGTGAGTGCTGGGATTATAGGTGTGTACACCATGCCCAGCTTTCACTCTGGTTTTTACTGGGATAACCACTGGAAGGTTTTGAACAAAGGAGTGAAATGCACTGGTAGATTTTTATTAGGATATTTTTGTAGTTTTGAAAGTAAAGAACAATAATAGTTGTAAGAGTACCATTTTTAATAATTGATACTATTTCTCATCCTACCTCTGTGGAGTACAAGTACTTGTCTCAGCATCTACAGGGCACCAGTTCGAGGGTTCCCTGTGGATACCAAAGTCTGTAGATGCTGAAGTCTAACATAAAATTTCATAATATTTGATATAACCTGTGAGCATCCTCTTATATACTTTAAATCGTCTCTCAATTGCTTATAATAATTGATATAGTGTTAATGTGATATAAATAATTACTATATTATATTTCTTAGGGAATAATGAAAAAAAAAGTTCAGTACAGTTACAAATTTTCTTTCAAATACTCTCAATCCATGGTTGGTTGAGTATATGAACCCAGAAAGTGAAGATGTGGAAGACCAATTGTATACCATTTTTACAGCTAGCAGCTGGAGTTAGATCTAAACCAGTCTGTGAACTTACAGAGTCAGTGGGGACTCACAAGTAAAGTCAAGTTGTTTGAGTCTAAGATAGTGTGTCCTCTGCTACTGTCTCTCATCTGGCTTTTTTCACAGTAAGTGTTCCAAGCTAAATGATACATGGGGGTACTCAGTTGTGTGGCAGTGTAGAATCTTAGATACAAATCATTTGTTGACATCTGAAATGTTTCTGTTTCCTTATTAGGACCACTTGGTTTCACATGGATTAAACATTACTGTACATATGATAAGGGAAGTAAAACATTTACAATGAGTGTTTCAGAAATGAAATCCAGTGGGAAAATGGTAAGTTCTGATTGTTCATTTTTAAAACAAATACTAAGGTTGTTATTAAGTAATGGAAGTAAAACAATAGCACATGTATTTTTAATTTCCAATAACATGAAGTTCTTAGAAACTGAAAAGTCAAAAAGTTTTCTCTCGTTTTAGTGACCTCACTAACTTAAAAAAGACTGGTCAGGGTTTTCCTTTCAATTGGCCATCTTATAAGCAGTTGAGTTAAATGTAGGATCCTTCAAGACATTGCTAAGGTGTCATCCCCCAGCCCTGGCCACAGAATTACTGGTCTGTGCTGGGGTTTGGCTAGCAGCCAGGGCTGACTATCAGTGGCCACATGGGGCTCAGGGACTCTGCATACTTTCTCAGTGGCTTCTGTTGGACACTGCAGTTGCCCTTGCATACCTTTTCTTCTTCTGCATTGTATTGTTTATCAAAATGCTAGCCAGCAAGTTCTTCATAAAAAACCAGTTGATGCTTACTTGCCCCAAAGTAAATTGGGCGCCGAGTGTTTTGCATGGCTAGTCAACAGTATAGGACGTAGTGTACACTATTCGAGGAAATGTTGCTGAGAGCTTAAGTGAATGCAATGTACCTTTTTTTTTTCAAGTTGAGATATGAGTATGGCAAATAGTTGCATTTGTGAATTAGATTGTTAGAGCTTGATCTAAGAATCCTGGAGCTGGGAGTTATCTTAGAGATAATTGGTCTAACCTAATTTTAACAGATCCAGAAATAAGTTCCTAGTAGTAAGTGACTCACACAACTAATTTCTAGTATAGAACATGGCAGATGTAAAGGTTGATCGAAGTTAGACACCTACTCAAACATGCCAGCTGAAACTTATTGTGCTTGGGCATTCATCAGAGTCGAATAATTCAAACCAAAAGACAAAATAAAGGAGAACACTCCAGAAAAAAGTGAAACCATAGATTGCTGCCATCATGAAAAGTTAGTTAAGTGCTATCAACACAGCTGGTTTCGCTTTTTAGCATAGTAATTGCCAGAAATCCAACTTACATGACAGGATATTAATCATATAAATAGATCAAGGCAAAGTTGTTTTAATAAACCTCTGAGATTTGTAACCAGACGCAAAATTAACCAGACGTCGGGTAGATTTGCCCCTTAAAATAGACTGGCATTTTGGATATAGAAGAGGACTCCTGTAAGTTGAGCCTAGGTTCCGTTTTGTCCAAATATATTTAGTTTTAATTGCATTGTAGCATTTGGTTAGCACCAAAACAGTTTCATGGTGTGCTAAGCATAGCAATGTAGTTTATACTAGAACTTACTATTTTGGAAGCTCTTTTGTGACTTTGAGGTAGCTATCATTTGATACTATAAAACACTAATGCATGATAATAATCTCTTAGAAATCTATGAAATTTTGATTAACAGCAACAGTGTTGCATCCTAACAAGTATTCTGTATGTAATTGTGTTGTTATAGCAATTCTGTAATTTCTTACCTTCTCAAAATCTGAAGTTATAAGGTCTTCTACAGTGCAACCTAACATTATAAGTAAATGTGTTGAAAAGTATTAGATGGGCATGTCACAAAATTCTGTGAAATAAAACATGTATATGTTATTAATCAATGATTTGATATAATGGCACAACGAATGTTAAGTAAATTAAAGAATGCGATTATGATCTTTGTGTATAACTTGCATTTTTAACCTTTTAATTTAGCAGCTTTAAACCATATACCTAGTATATTTCAGTTCACTTGTCATGTTAATAATATGATCCCCTCTTGTTACAGAATGGCCTTGTTACTAGCTCGCCAGAAATGTTTAAGTTAAAATCTTGCATCCGACGAAAGACAGATTCAATTGACAAACGATTCTGCTTTGACATAGAAGTAGTTGAAAGGTTTGAGCTTTTCTTCCCACTTTATATTTTTTATGTTAAATTGCTTGTTTCTATATCTAGATACAGGTATAACCTAACAAGTGCTTCTGCTCTTTCTGAAGACACTATGCATGTTTATTTCATTTCACATTTTATTGTATGATCTGTTTTTAAAAATGAGATGCAGAAAGCTAGCAAAACATAACCTCAAAGAAGAATCTGAAAAATCCATATGAATGAGTAAATTAGTTAAAATATTGTAAGAAAGAAGCCAAAAGGGTTTTTTTTGGGGGGGATTCTTTTTTTTTTTCCTAGGGCCAGGCTTTTGTAGGCTCTTGGAGTCTGCTAATTTTGCTTCCCAGGGACAAGAAGGCACAGGAGGGAATACCATAAGCTTCTCTCAGCCAGCTAAGTTCAGTGCCTGTAGGAGGCTTAGTGTTTGAAGCACTGTTCCAGGCATTCTGAGCCGTAGGTTATTGGAAGAATGATTGATAGATGACAGCATCTGTGTTCATGATCTAGTGGAAGTACTTAACTCTGCTCCTTTACTGTACCAAAACTGAAAGTGTGAGGTGGACTACATCTTGCTCTCTGCTTTGTGATCGCCAGTCTCTTCTACTATCATACTGTACTGAATGCTCTAGCATACTGTGTGTGCACTATCTATACTATGACATTATGTGTAATATTATAATATGCTACAGCATATAACTATAAGGCAAGGATCCCGATCTTATATTTCCTTAAAATTATATTAGTATTTTGGCCTTTCTTATACTTTTGGAGAGCCACATACTAAGTTTCCCCTCCTTTGTTTAAAAAAAAAAAAAAAAGCCCTTTAGGATTTGGCTGGTATAACATTTAAATTATTAATTGATGAAGAGTTGACTTCTTAAAGATTTCATGTATCTGGTTTTTATATACTGTTGGTTTCCTTCTTTTTACTGCAGTTTTAAATCAGATTCTCTTCATAAGTAGAATTTTTTTGCTAAATAGTTGAGACTGCAGTATAGAAAGGTTGTTAGTTTATTTTTACCTCAATTTCATATCCAGCAGAATTTCTAGACTTCTTACTATTTTTAATAGTTTTATGATAGAGACTCTAAACTTTGTTTGTAGATATATATCAACAGGTTACTTTCTCTTGTTTTACTTTAACATATTCTAATTATATCCTTAGGACACATTGTTAAATACTGTGCTTTAGTTTTATCATCTGCAAAGAAAATACCCACCTCCAAGACTTATCATGAGGATTAAATGAGATAATAAAGGAAACATTAGTAATTAACACAGTGCCTGACACATGCACAAAAAAATGTAAACAGCCAACAAATATTATCTGTCATTATAATTGCATTATTGATGCTATGAGACTGGCTTAAATTTTCCAACATTAAATTATCTTCTTCTTTATACACATTTTCCTTTTCCTGTCATTCTAATGATATATTTTATTTTTTCATTTTAATTTTAGTTTATTAGTACATGTGTGTAATACAAATATTTACATTCCTGTGGAAAGTTGGTATATTTATAGAACATATCTTAATTGGATTTTTCTTTTCTTTTCTTTTTCTTTTTGGTACCAGGGATCAAACCCGGCTTTTTGCACTTATAAGGCAGGCAGTGGAAACATTGAGCTAAATCACTGGACTTAATTACATTTTTGTCCTATTCCCTTCCCTTCCTGTCTATCCCTCTTCACTTGACTCACCCTTTTTTGATACATATTTGCAGTATATAATGTTTATATTCCTTATTAGAGTTGATACTTATACATAGCACATCCTAATTATTTTCTTATTGACAGAGGAGAGCTAGACTATTATCTTTAAATTGCTCCAAGTTTTTAATCACACAACATTTATAACGAAATTTTCCTCTCAACATTCATTCCCTTCACAGTTTCCTCTAATTTTCTATTTAATGAGATTAATTCCTTTCTAAGATTTCATATCTTTTTATTTCTTATATCAGTTCCTTCCTTCCCTGTGTGCTTTGTCTTTCAAAGTATATTCTTAAGTAACTATTTCACAATAGTTCATGGAAGAAATCATTTTAAATTAATTAATTTTAACATTGTGATGATATAAAGAAGTGCTTTGGGTTTAGTGTCATTTTTATTATTAACTATTGTTTATTGTTTGCTTTTTATTTAATTATTACCTATGGTAAAAGGTTCCCACATTGCTCTGTGCTCATCGTAATTGTATTTAGTTGACTAGACTGTACCAAAGCTGAGCCAAAATAATCATTCTTAAACTGTGGAATATTTTGGAAGCTTTGAATTTGGTGAATGTATTTTTGTCATCCTTTGTGGTCATTTCAGAAGACATCGTTTGAAGTTAACATCTTCAAACAGTCTTGCACCTAAAGCACATAATGATCTTGTTATCGGTGATCATTAGAATTATAAACATTTATGTGTGTGTCACAGTGATTGTTCTGAACAATACCTGTAGATCAATTTTTTGAATTTCTACTTTTTTCTTCAAATTGTACCTTAGTAATTAAGGATTTAAAAATTAGTAAATGTTTAAAGACATAACAGGAATACATTTGATAAGTAAAATGTTTGGTTTTGGTAGGCATGGGATCATCACATTACAAGCCTTCTCTGAAGCTAATAGGAAACTCTGGCTTGAAGCCATGGATGGGAAGGAACCGGTAAGCATGTGACACATTCTATAATGTACATCTTATTTTAAAAATTACGAAGTACATCTGAAATTTCTGTCTTGTACCTGTAGTATAATCGAAAATATTAAAATAGTAAATCAGAGGAGTAGAGATGTGTACTGTTTTCCTGGTGTTGTTTTAGTCCATGCCACATGATTTCAATTCTCTAATTTGGTTTTCTAGGACTAATTTAAAACTCTAAAATTACTTTTTAAAATCTTATAATTATCTGGTTGCACTAGTTATGTAATTTTATTTAATTAATGATTAGTGCATGCCTAGTTTCTGCAAGACCAATGTTAGAGATTGTGAAGAGCGATGAACGCAGTTCAAAGTATGAACTGATCCTCTAGTCTGAGCTACTAGTAGCCTATTTTGATAAAACTCTCTGGTGTGACATTTATCCCTCCTCATTTGCTTATAGTTATTTTGATGTTGGAATGGTAGTTTACTTACTAGTACCAAGGAGAAATCACTGTTTATTTTTTTAGCACAGTTACTAAATCAGAGAGGGCTAAGCACACATAGTGAACAGGGTGTGATGCCTCTTGCTTAGAATCTTAGATCACAAGAACCTGTGAACAACCTCAAGCATAGCGCCCATGTGACAGCAGTTCGACCCATAGTCAGCAGACTTTGAGGCCCTCCCTCAGACTTCACTACCAGCCCACAAAAAGACACGTACATCTATTATGATTAATCCTTTAGAACATTTTCTAACCACTTGAAGGAGTTAAGTCTGATAAATTCAGTAATAAAACATCAGGGCTCTGCATCTTCTTTTTTTATCATTTTCTATTTCAATCTTACTATGTTTTACAAAATACCAATTAATGACAGATTTTTGAAAAAACAAAATAAATGTTTGGCTGTTCACCACAAATGATTGAGAAATCTTGACCTAGACCAAATTTTAAGGACAATTGTTTTTAGCTCAGAAATGTACAAGTTAGGATTATGCACATTGAAAATAAAGCATGAAATAGATAATTTGAGGAAGAAACAATCATGTGAAATCCATTGTAGAACACTTCCTAAAGAGGTATATTATGTATTATGTTGGGGAATAGAATAAGATGCATACATAAATCATATGGGCAGGGGAAAAATAACTCAGGGAAGGACTGCCAGTGGTTTGGAGGAGGCAAGGTAGGCTTCATCACAAAAAGTTGTTAGGCAAGGTGGACTGAAAGCACTGTAAACACAGTGGTTGTGAGAACTTGAAATCAAAGCAGTCCCTTTGTGTTTACTCTACAAACAGCACCTTGCCAGTCTTATGTGCTGGGTCATTAACTGAAAGTAACTGATAGACATCCTTTGTTTTTTAGATTTACACGCTGCCTGCCATTATTAGCAAGAAAGAAGAAAGTAAGTCATTTATTTTCCCTTAAAAAAAAACTCTTATTTGTGCAAACAGTTCCTGACTCTTGAATTTAAGACCTTATATTTGAGTAGGAAACGGCATCTGCTATTAATCAGAAATAGTCCTTTCTACTTTTTGGTTTACCCCTTGGAGCAAGTCAAAAGTAAAATTAAAGTTACATTTCCTGACAGAAATGATAAAACAATAGAAGGAACATGCTGAGTTCTAGAATTGACTCTGTTGGTGAGGTATACTTTCAGCTTCTCCTAAATAAAGCCAGATGAACACTGACACTTAATTCTCAGTGGCCACATTGCGAGCTGTAGAAAAAATTTAGGATTGGGCATCTGCATTGTGATCAGGGAAGCTTGTTTTTAACATTGATTAGGTGAAGAGGGGCAGCTGTTCCTAAAATCTGAGACAGGGCTGGCTCTCCATAGCTTTTACTATGCAGTCTGTAGTAGCCATAGGATCATCACCAGAGCTGGCAGGGAATGAGCTGGCCACCTCCAGTTCAAGCACTATGGATCTAAGCTTAAAGCCTAAAACTCCTTAGGGTATTGGGAGTGGCTGAGGTTCTACCTTTCTATTATGTGCCCAAGCAAGTTATTTTAAAATTATGTGAAATTATATTACAGATAGTTATTTGTACCATGGAAGTACTATGTGATATTAAGTATTCACTCTAGGGAAATAGCACTAATCTATCATTGATCAGGTGGTACATCTAATTTGAAATCTTGAATCCGTGAAGGTTTTCATGGTAAAACCACAAACTATATACCCCAAATTATAAGCAACAAAGTACTTTTTACTTCTTTGGCTTTTATTTACTTTTTGTGTGTATACAAATCCTTCATAGAGATTTGAAGCAGTTCATATACTGTTTGATTTTTTATGGCAGCAGAGGGCTTATTTATCTTATTTTTCTTGCCCCATTTTGCTTAGAAGTACAAGATTATTCTGGGGGTTTTAGCATATGGAATATGTAGGAAAAGGTGTTGCCATATCATTTCTAAATCATGATTATCAAACCATTCTCCATAAACATTGTTCATATGTTTTTCATTATCCTCTAAGTTCCCTGTAATCATTTACCACCTTTTGCTACCTTTTATCCTTGATTGGTTTAGAGTATTTTACACTATTCATGCTTTTAAAAGTATTTTTTCATTTTAAAAGTACATTCCAATGATTCTGGTATTCTTTGATCTCTTAAAAGTCATCTGAGACTTTTACATTATAGCTTTAGAGAAATCTGTCTCTTTTTACAATTCTGCTATCATGCTTCCATGCATCATCTTGTCTTTAAGATCTCATGTCTCTCTTTATTTGGCACTTGACTCTCCCAGAAGTGTCATTATGTCAATTTCAGTATGTAATTTCTCTCATAATTGGTATTTGAAGGAAATATTTGTCTCAAATGTTTATAGCCTCTGTAATTCACATGGATTCTGTTTATACTAAAATATTCTTATCCTTTCAAAACTCAATTTTTCATTAGATGTGCTTGTGTTTTTTAATTGCTAAGGATAATAAAATTTAAGACTAAAATATAAAAGTCAGGTTAAAACTTGTTTCAAATGACAGCCACTAGAAGTAGTCTTAAGGCACCTGCTTTTCACTAAGAAAACCTAGAACTATTTGCATTAGAGCCATGCGCTGAGTATGCATGTGTCATGAATGAAAACTAAAACTGTGCTATAACTGTGTAGTAATATATCTCTTTACAAACCTCACATTAAAAAGCAAACAAACAAAAAGAAAACCTTACTTTGTGGTTACTCTTAATATACCATTTTCCAATATACAGATCTTGTGAATGAAACTTGAATAGAGAAAGAAAGTTTGCATCTTCTTTACGATAAAGTGTCAAGTAAAATAATCTAACGTATCAGTCAGTTACAGGATATTGAACCCCCAAATTACCTTTGGGTTGTAAAATATGGCATAAAGTCCTTTCCCTGAAATTGTAAGATTTGGGGTCATTAATTCATTTTGAGGTTAGTAATATCTTATCATCGATATTAAACAGATGCTATCTGATTAAGACTAGAACTAAACTGATCCTTAAGCTATCCCATTGTTAATATTTTATTTTAAAATAGCTTACTAATAGTTCTTCATAATTCTGCCATTTCAATTCATTTATCAAGGGACACAAATTACTATCTTTTTTGACATGCATTTTGTGTCCCAAGATCTCCATTTTGGGACTGAACTTTAACAAGGGTAAAGGCAGTTAATATTTCCTCTACATTTTCTTTCTTTGACATTCTTTGTTGATGCCTTGTGTCTTGTCCACTCAAATATGACTTTTATGTAATGGTAGTTGAACTAGTTCCTCACTCTGGATTTGAACAAAGTGAGAACTGTGAAAGAATAGATACTTTGATCTTACTCTCTTATGCAATTAAGTCAACAGTATTCCATTGTGCATCCACTTTATTCCAGGCTCTGTGAATAAAAGAAATCTTTTTCAATGACATTTTCACTCATAAAATCCACTATTTCATTATGTAAAGACAAAGTGACCTAAGGAAACTCATACAAAATCAAAGGAAGTGGAGAAGATAACTATAAAGTTTCCAAATCAACTTTTAATATTGGCCACTTTTCCTGGAAGTGACTAGCAGACATATTCTTCCCAGCAGTAAACAGAAAAATTAAGCTTATTTTTCTTATTCTAGGCAAACAGTTGCCATTTGTCATGCATGTTCCAGAGCTTCATACTGCTGTTCAGATAGTTTCATTCTGGAAGGTCTCAAACATCCTCTGCAACACCACCCTTTGCCTCATCGTCCCCAAGACCTTTAATCAAATACAGTTTTGTTTTCGAGGAGGGACATAGCTCAAGCATTTTTTTTATGTGCAGAGCAGAATGAAAGGATAATTTAGGCCAACTGTTCATCCTTAGGAAGAAAAGGACCAGTAGGTATCATGAACACTAATAAACCCACTCATTTCTTTTTTTCTATTTCTTTCAAACCATATGTAATACAATATTAGATCTGAAATGGCAGTTTATAAAGTGAAATTTAAATTAAAGACAACTGTTGCTTTGTGTTGTTAACGCTGAGAATGTACTGTAAGGTCACAGATATTACATCTGTGAGGCCATGCTAGGTTTTGTGTTAGGAAATTGATGAAGGTACAAGGTCTTTTGCTGGAAGGCCATTCCTTTTATTCTCATGGCTGCTTGAATTCTCTTGAAATTAATAACTTTTGGGCTGCTAACCTGCCTTAAACTTTATTTCGGTTTTAATAAAAGCTTTAGCCCTGAACAGTTTGCAGAGGGGGCGGGGTTTAAATGCTTAAATTTAACTTTTGAATGAACATACTGAATTCATTAAGTTCGTCTGTCTTCTCTTTCTACCCATGAAGGCCAAATACCACGAATATTATTGAATGTTTGTTCCTGGGAATTTGGAAGTTGTTGGATTCTGGGTGTCCTTCTCCCAAACGGGGAGATACAGAGCTGAGAGACACCTTAGGCCTAGGGAGATATTCACAAAAGTAGCTCACATTAGCTGGCAGAACCCAACTCTTGTAGTAGCCATCAAAGATTGTATTTAGGCTACAGAAAACCTATTTTAATTGAATCCTCATTAGACTGATAAAATAAGCGTAGTAACCCCTTCATGGCTTTTGAAAATTGCTAGTTTTCCATTACAAAATGTGTTTGCCCTAAGAAGTAACATTCCTGTGGCTGCGTCTTATATCAAATCATTAGGAGACAAACTGAGCCACTTTGTCCTTCTCAGACCTCAGCAGAAAATGTTGGGTACTCTACTGGAGGTCCTGTGTACTCTCACTTTTCAAAGCAACTATGATTGGGTGCTGCCCCGGTAACTCTGGGCTACCTTTGTTATGTTAATCAACTAGAAAGTAGTTCAAAAGAGATACTTTCCAGTTTAAGAAGGAAGAACTAATTGTGTAGTTATTTTTTTATTTTCTTGAATCCTCATTGCCACAGCAAACTACTCAAGTTATGCATAATTAAATTAGAACTGGCCAGATTAGGCCTCAGCCTCAGTGGCTTGCCATAGAGGAGGTTCATCTCTTGTTCATCATACATGTCTATAGGTCCACTGTGACTCATAGTTTTCAACCTGAAACTCAAGTTGATAGAGAAACTTCCTCTTTATCTTTGCTTATCTTGTGCCAGAGACAAAAGCAAATAAAAGCTACTTACTGCTGCCTCTCATTTCCCCTGGGTAGTATTATATGTCACTTTCCTTCTTATTTCATTGCATAATACATACCACGTGACCAAGCCTATCTTCACAGATGCTGAGCAGTACAATTTTCCTGCAGGAACTGACAACAAATAGGGGAGAACAGTCCTGCTAGCCTGCTGCAGTCTGTCTGGTTCTAGGGAGAGGCTGTATTTGCTCATTGTGTTTTATGGACATGTAATGAACACATAAGAATGTTTCTTAATATACAGTTTACCTTTTCAGTGGCCAGCTAGGTATACAAGGCCTCCCCATTAAATGTTTTATCTGTGTCTGATGAAAGAACTAAATCATTTTGCATTGCTATGTCCTCAAATTTTTTTTAAAAAGTGTAATATCTTTCTTTGAAAAACAGTGCTTATGCTGGGGATGTAGCTCAGTGGTGCCATGCCTTCCTGAAATATAGCGCTGGTGTTTTTTACCATCCCTGGAGATCTCATGATTTCAGCCATGCCCAAAGGGAAAAGAATCCTTTGATGTGAAATGTTTATTCTGCAGTCATTAACAGTGGTGTTGGTTGCTGATAGTCAACACCATATCTCTTTCTGTGTGCAAAATACTTTTCTTGGAGCCTTTCAAATGTTGTTACTTCATCTTATATAGCCCTATAAGGAAGAGACTATCTTACCTTATTTTATAGCAGTGAGGCACACAGATTAAAATTATGCTCAATAATACAGCTTTTGACTAGGAGAGTAACTATTGTCTCTCTCATCTGATTAGAACTAATGACTGGTTTCACTTATCTTTTTTTTTTTTTTTTTTTTTTTTTTTTTTTTGAGACAGGGTCTCACTATGTAGTTGAGACTGACCTGGAACTAACTGTGTAGCCCAGGCTGGTCTCGAACTCACAGCGATCCTCCTGTCTCAGCCTCCTGAGTGCTGGGGTTGCAGGCGTGCACCACCATGCCTGGCTCATTTATCATTTTTTTTATTTTCTTCCATGTAGCCATGAGGTATAGGCAGGAGCAGAGGACAAAGACAGCTTAGCATTTTTATTTTTTCCCAAGGTTGGGCACACTTTGGTGCTTCATATGATTTTATTTCCAACTTACTCAGACTCTTTAACATATGTTCTTCCAGTTCTCTCATTTCCTAAAAATGAAAAGACACACTGTCCTTCATCCAGCAGTCTGACTGGAGCTAGGACCTAACTGCAGGTTTGCCTGGCTCTACACAAAGCTGGGTCTCTCTCTGAACCACACAGCTGTGGTCTTTCTCACAAAGCAATGGATGGTTAAAGGCAACAGAAAAGCATGTATAGTTTTGCTACCACATCTCTGAACTGACTGATAACATCACATTTACTCCTGTGAAGAGAGCTGTGAACAGAATCCATGGAATCCATCAGAACGACAGCACCCTTATGATGATCTTGCAGTCAGACTGACATCCTGTAAGGTTTTGTTCCACATAATGAGCCTATGCTATCAGTTTATTAGCATAGACTGGGGTATTGCTACTAGTATTTCAGTGTACCTTTGAGATATAGTCTGGTTACTGCCTAATTTTCTAATAATGAATACTGAAAGAAAAAAATCCATTTTTGTGTATCATAGTATCTTCATCCTTTTTCCAAAGTCTTTTATTGAAAAAAAATTAAATGCTCTTCTCTTCCTTCTAATCTTTTTTTATTATTATTGAAAAGCTGAACATTGTGACCTTCAGTACCAAACATTTCAAGTAGTAGGAACTTGCAGTGCTAACTGATAAAAAATGTTAATGCTTTATTTCTACCTAGGATTGTACTTCTTGTCTCACTTTTTGTTTTCATTGGTAAAAACAAAAAACTAATAAATGATTCTTTTCCTGTCCATCATACTTGTTTCCTTAATATTTCTAAATGTCTGAATGTATATTATGCTTGACATTTTAAATTATTGAAAATGAGCAATCCCTTCTTGGTGTCAAAGGAGTTACAGGCCAGTGCAGATCCTAAGAGCATGCTAACAGAGTACTCTATTTTCCTTATGTGCGTTCCACTCACTTGGAGTATCTACTGAGTTCTGTTCTTCTGATGTAGGACACTGGAAGCTAAGAAATACATCAGCTACTTCATAGTGATAGACATATATATTTTAGTTTAGACATTGTTATATCTAGAGTACTGATGTTATAGTTAAAGTATTTAATATATATATATTTTTTAAATATCTAATAATTCCAGAGTAAAGTGAATAAAAATGATAGTTTCTACCTTCAGCCTGCATCTTATCAACAGCTTGTGTCTATCTTTATGGATTTTTTCCCTAGAATAATTGAAATAGTCATACCCTCAAATTTCAACATTTTAATAATAGAGGCATTATGGTCTTGTTGATTTCTTATTTTACCTAACAACACTTCACAAATACCCTTTTGTGTTACTACCTCTTGTTTTTTGTTAATTAGTTCACCTTTATTGGTGTCCTGTGTCTAAGACTACTTCAAAGTTTTTACTCTGTTGCTAGTACTTTTCCTTAATTTTTATTGTAATCATTTTGGTGTGTAATTTTTCTCTGTGGATCTGTATTGAGCTGCATGAGTGTGCCTAATTCACAATTTTTCAGGGAAGGCAGTTTTAAATTTTTATCAGTTTGAATTATCATTTATTATTATTTAAGAATATTAAAAATGTCACCACAACATGTACTGAAAATTTTCTCTATGGTACAAAAGATTTTTAAGTTTTTCCTCTAGGTGTCACTTTGTATTATTAAATGCTTTTTCTCTATATAATTAACTAATTTGGTTCTGGCCCTACAACCTTAAAAAAGTGAAAATGGATTTAAAGAAACTCTAGCAAAAAATGAAAATAACTTGCTATTTTACAATGTAGAATTTTGGGATTCTTAATGCACTGAATAAGCATGTTTGGATTCTTTTAAATATGAAACAGAATGTCATACAAAGAGCATTGGGCTTAGAACAGGTGACTTGGATTAAATTCAAGCTCTAGTTTAGAACAGAGAAAGGTGGACTTTTAGCAAGTTAAGACCCTTACAATGCTGTTTTTAGAATCACATGGGAAAGAATAAGTTAAAAGTTTTAATACGATTTCCATGCAACATAAAGATTTGTTCTTCTAGCATTGACTTTAGTCACCTTCAAAAATATGCAGTAAAGGGTAATGCTAGTTTTAGGGAAATAGATGGGATCAATATAACATGCTTTATTTGAAGAATCTGTATTCTGTGTTCTATAAGCTGGGAGGTATAATAATTGTGTGCATGACCCTCCTGTTCTAATTTTACCCCAAAATTAAAAAGTCAGATTCTAGGCTAAGTATTTGATAAATAAGCACTGTGCTGTTACATGGTAAAGTCTCAGTGAACAGAACCAACTGAAGGGGGAATTTACATTTCACATCAACACTTAATTTGACTTTCTTTTATTTTCAGTGTACTTAAATGAGGCAGGATTCAACTTTGTGAGAAAGTGTATTCAAGCTGTAGAAACAAGAGGTGAGTGTTGTCTAACAGGTCTACTGTTACTGTGGTGTGTCCCATTCTTACATGGAAGCCTCTCAGTAAAAAATGAAGATGTAGCTGTGTGTGGTGGCACACACCTGTAATTCCAGTACTCAGGAAGCTGATGCAGGAAGATCACTGTGAGTTTGGCCAGCCTGGGCTACATAGCTCAAGGCCAAAGTGAACTACATAGTGAGACCCTGTGTCAATAAAAAGTGATTTAAAGAAAGAAGAAAATGTGTTTTTCGGCATTGACATGAGATTAATTTTAAGAATGATATAAATGTGTAAATTATATAAATATACCAATAGCTATATTTTAACTTCAGTTTACCAAAAATTATACTATCGTTTTCATATTTTTTTCAGCTTTGAAGATAAGACTTAAGCAGTTAATGCTTAGCCACCTTCCTGCCCTATTTTCTCTCACCTAGTGATTTTAGTCACTGCTTTTTTTTTACTCTTAATAATGACCTCTCTGGAAGCTCACCTCAGTTAGATGTTAGACACATTTACTTCTACTAAAACCTGTCTAAAACAAAATTCATATTGGCCTTTGGAGTTCTATGAACATATTCAGATTTTGGTGTTGCCACTTATAAGTTTTGAGAGGTTAAGTTGATTCCTTGAATTCTCTGAATCTATTTCCTTGCGTTTAAAATGAAAATATAAATGCTATAGGACTGTTCAACATACAGAACTCAGTAGCCCGGAAGCGGATGAGGAACACTGAATATCTCTTTCTGTTATTGATGCTTTTTTTATATTCAAAAATGGTGGATAGGCAGGTATACTTTGCTACTTTGAAGATCTTCAAAGACCTTTAAATGACTGATCAGTGTCTGCTCTGAGAAATGTGTCTGATAGGTGTTTTGCAGGACAGGTTTGCTAAGGTTAGACTGTAAAATTGGATAAGTAGCTCTCAAATTCTATATAGGCATATGTCTGAGTTTTTATAGTTCTGTACTTTGGAAGCTGTATCTCAAGCCATTGTCCTGTGATTTTTTTTCCTTCCCATTAGGTATCACCATTTTAGGACTCTACCGAATAGGGGGAGTGAACTCCAAGGTTCAGAAACTCATGACCACCACATTTTGTAAGTTTTAAATTAAATAAGTTAATTTTCGTATCATTATTTGTAATCCAAACTATAGGTTTATTTGAAATATAAATGACTGCTTGTCTTTGAATATTTTCAAATATTGTTTAAGATTAATGTTTGCATTCAGGTTTTTGGATGGTTTGGTAATGGTTTACTGCTGGGATTGAACACAGGTCCTTGCACATGCCGAGCATGAGCTCTTCCACAGAACTACACACTCACCTTCTATATTCAGTTATGAATGTTCAGCCATACTAGATAAACAATTTTTTGTTATTTTGGAGTTTTTTCTCAAATGTCCTTTGGTTAGTTTAAAGATAGAATAAGATGCGTGAATGCTAGAGGCAGATTGCCTAGCTTGGAATCCCAGTTTGTCTACTTAAACATTTTATGATCTTTAGTAATTTGATTAACCTTTCTGTGTCTGGGCTTCTTCATTTAAAAAGAGAGGTAATATTAACATCTATTAATCTATGCAAAAGACTTAAAACATGCCAGGTACAGGTTAGTCACTCTCTCATGTTAACAGATAGTGACAAGTTGATTTGGGAAACTATTATTTCATGAGATATCTTTGAACTTCGCTGTTAAAATGAGCTTCTTATCAGCTCATCTGAAGAACAATCCAAGTTAACTTTGCGGCATCTGAAAAAATGAATGCATCTCTCCTTTGACTTTGTTGGTATCCATTTTCATAATGGCACAGGGAATATTTTGAACTGTAGTTTGTACACCTTGTTTTTATTCTTTCCAGCCCCCAAATCCCCTCCCGATATTGACATTGATATCGAACTGTGGGACAATAAGACAATAACGAGTGGACTGAAAAACTACCTCAGGTGAGGAGGATTTAACCCCTTGTAACTGGATGTGTTCTCTCACTGCCCTCCGTGGGCATTGACTATTTGATTTCATAGAGCCCATATACAAACTCTGTAACTCCGGGCCTTCATGTAAGGTGAAACTGCACAAGGTGATAACTTTTACATTGAGCATTCTGGAACTTGCTCTTAGCGTTTTGTTTGTTTGTTTTTCTGGTACCGGGGATTGAACTCAGGACCTTGGCACCTGTGAGGCAGGCAGTGGAATCTCTGAACTAAATCCCCAGCCTACGTATTTTTTGTTTTATATTAAATTTCTATGTTAGGTTATTGTATATCTTTTAAAACAAATCAAAATAAGTTTTAATTCTTTTTTTTTTTCTTATAACTATTGGCCGTATATCTGAAATTGGTTTTGTTCTTGTCTAAAATACCCTCGTGAATGTACTTGTGGCAATAAGTGCTAAAGTGCGTTTGTATTTTAGAAGTTTGCATTTTAGGATTACTCAGAGCCCCTCCACAGGGCCTTATACTGCATAATCACTCAATTATTTTACTTTTATTTTTAATGACACAAAGTAATCACCAAGTTCTATAAGAAGTAGTGACAGAGTGTGTATGTGGGGAGAGAACAGTGCCATTCTAAATGCCCTTCACTTCTTTAATGTAGGTGCCTTGCAGAACCACTGATGACTTACAAGTTGCACAAAGATTTTATTGTTGCTGTTAGTAAGTACACTTCCATCTGATGCATGTAATTGATATAGTTTTTTGCTATAAGATGTTGGCATATAAGTTTTAATATAGTTACGTTTTTATATATTGCCATTTATATATAATATGATACTTAATAGTTTACACTGTGACTTTTAAGCTAATACAAATAATAAATTGAGCTAAATATCTTGTCACTTAATATGACCTTATTGGGATGACAGTCCTATGTGATTAGAAAGAATTGTGAGGAATTCTGACTTTGTTTTACTTGAGCAGTTAATACCAGTTATGAATATGTTCAGACAGTTTTGCTGCTGCACATGCTCACATGCTGTATTTCTGAACATAGATTAACAGATGTTAGAAAGATGAGTAAAATATTTTTGACTAGATAATTGCATCAATCCCTTTCTCTTACATTTTATTTATTTGTGGTGATCATATATTTATGTGTAGGTCTGTGACTGCATTAATATTGTATAATTAGATTTAATCCAAAAACTGAGCAATGAGAAACATGTAACATGAGAAACTAGTAATATGCAGTTTTCAAGCATTGAGACTCAAATGCCAGATTGCCATCACAGCACATCTCTACAACATGTGACAATTAGGAGGTGCATTTCATTGTTAAGTTGTGTGAGGTGTGACTGTATTTAAGAGTATTTTTCATAGTCCAAGAAAGAAATCAGTTGCATTAGTTTTACTTCCACACATTGTAATGTCACAGGAAATGTCTTCTGATGAAAGTATCTGATAAAGTTGAATGACCTTGGTTTTCAATTCAGTGTTCATGGCCAATCAATCACATGATCTGTTAAACAGCAGTATTAGTAAGCTGCCTCTGAAAACTCTTCTTTCTACATTTTCTTCATTGAAATCTGCATGGTTAGGTGAACAGGACCTGAGAAAATATATAATCTAACCCTTCAGATTATTGAATAAGAAACTAGGACCTGAAATAGACAAGGAACTTATTTAAGGGTACTAGAAAATTCGTGGCGAACCAGAGCTGCATTGCTAGCTGTTTGGTTTGTTTGATTTTATTTTCCCACTCAATCCACAACTTTTCAAACTGAGGTTTTGTTTTTTAAGTGGCATTTGAGCCACCTGAATTAAACAGCTAAAATGGACTGATTGTTTTGATACAAGTTTTTGGCACAGATTTATTTCTCCACTTGTTTCTGTGGCAAATGGTGGTCATGTTATTCACGACTATGATATTTAAAATATATTCTTATATATAAGAATTTGCCTTTTATCTGAGTCAAGGATAGTCTTGTTGATTAAAGCCTAAATTGGGTTATTTAATAAAATTAGGTATTTGGTATCAAGCAAGAGAAATAATCTCAGTAAAAAAGGGCAAGTTTTCTAAGCCCAAGAAATGTCTCACAGAATTCCTGTGCAGAGAAGGGGCCAGACCTTCCATGACACTGTAGTCAGGATATGCATGACATTTTCCTTACACTTTCTGAAGGATCGCTCATCTCTGTTCTTTGTTGTATTCTTCATTCTCATCTCCATTTCTAGTCAATTTTCTTGGGGTACATTTGGCCAGCCCTACCCTGGTTTTACTTGATCTGCCTTCCCACTTATTGAGCAGATAGGTCAGAGTTTTGGTATCTCCATTCCAGCTCTTCAAAGAGACCTTTTATTCAGCCTGAACCAAATCTTTCCTCACTTTATGTCCAAACAACTGGACCCAGAAGAGATGGTGGCCTCATAGTATAGATCTCTAAGTTGGGATTGTTTCTGGAAAAAGGCCTTTGCAAAGTGGACACCCACAATAAGAGATTGTTAGATTTATCTTTCTGAAGTGTTAGACGTTTCTCTAGCATATATGTCAGTACCTTAGCTTTTACCCGCCAGGACTTGCCTAAGTGATGTCTCAAATTTCAGATTTACCATTGTCAGTATGGATTTACAATCAACTGGGCCCATGTTTACCTCAGAAAAGCCAAGCTCTTAACCCATAAATTAGGGGAGAAGAATACTGGCTTACTCTGGCTGTCTGGGTTATATCACAAGGAAGTTGCTATATGATAATATGAATTTTAGTATATGCATATATCATATATATATACACATATATATAAGTGACCAAAGATCATATATGTATATATCTCACTGATATAGTGCCTGACCCTTTGGACAGCCTGCACCAGTTGCTAAAATTCACATTTCTGTTGGTTCTATTCTATCCTTGGCTTCAAAATCTAAGCAGGTAATGAGTTATGGTTGTATGGAAGCATATAGTTCAGTGATTAAGGGCCCATGTGTAGAATACATAGAACTGGATGTGTTTGGCTTTTCTTTTTTTAAATTTCAGTACCAGGAATCAAACTCAGGTCCTTGTGCTTGCCAGTCAGGTGTTTGGCTTTTCTACTTTTCTACTTCCTAACTTCATGTGTATGGACAGGATACTTAGCCTTTCTGTGTCTTAGGGATTGATGATAATTATGTTACATAAAGCAGTGCCTGAAAGGCATGAAAGGTAGGAGTAGTTAAGATATTTATATGTACTAATATTTATATATTCACTTGAATGCAGTTAAAACTTGACCATTTACAACTTTCTTTACATAATAGAATCAGATGATCAGAACTACAGGGTGGAGGCTGTACATGCATTGGTGCACAAACTGCCAGAGAAAAACAGAGAGATGCTGGACATCTTAATAAAGCACCTGGTCAAGTAATTCTCTTAACTTATATTATTCATTTAGCTATATATTTATCTGTTAAGTTAAAACTTGTTCATATCTTTTTAAAGTATGTGATGGAACTATATCATTGCTATTGTAATTGATACATTGCAAGAGCTTTAAAAATGAACTGACAGTTTATTTTTAGAGTATATCTGTAATATTTGTGTGTATGTGTATGTTTTCAGTATGTAAATAAGCATATCCTTTGCAACTGCTAAACTAAAAATGAAACACTTACATATCAACTTAAAATTATGTGGAGCAGGTAGATTTTCCGTGACTCTTTTAGGTGTGTTGTAAGCAGTGAGTTTGAAGACTGGTGTAATATACTACTAAAGGCAACAATTTTCCCAAGGTCAAATTAACACTCTGATGTTTTAAAAGAAAAAAATGTTATTAAATTTATTTCCAATGCCAAGTAAAACTGAAAGTAGTTTTCTCTTGAATGAAAACTTCAAATTTTATACATGAATATTTTCTAATGATGTTAAACTTATAATTCCACTTCAGATGTTTTAAATTCCATAATATTTAGGTGACCAAAATTCTTTAACACAGTCCAAACATAAACTAAACAAAATTCGTGGTTCTGTGTTTGGAAAGCCTTCTCAGAAGCACATGAATTTGCTTCATATATGGTAATTACTATCTCCATCTCCTTAAACCTTTTTCATTTCTTTGAGTTAGGAACCTAGTGTGGAAGTGGGATAGTGGGAGGATAAATAAGGAGTAAAAAAATACAGTTAGATAAATGTACTAAATTTTAGTGTGCTATAGCATAATAAACTGAGTATATTTTATAGCAATTTATTATATGTGTTATATATTTTAAAGAACATGTTATGTCTTTTGGGCTATTGACTCATGACAACAGGAATAACTGAAACTGAGAAAATTAGCCTATAATGGCATATGTATTTTACATTTTTATGCTACAAGTTTGATAGAAAAGCATATTTCATCATTATTAAATATTTAAGAATTTTTTGTTCTTATTTGTAGAGTATCACTGCACAGCCAGCAAAACCTCATGACTGTCTCAAATCTTGGTGTCATATTTGGTCCAACTCTGATGCGAGCACAGGAAGAAACTGTGGCTGCCATGATGAATATTAAATTTCAGAATATAGTGGTTGAAATTCTGATAGAGCATTATGAGAAGGTAGGCTGGATTTTCTTGTACAAGCATCATATTTTGTATCTTGCCTTTTAAAAAGGAATTTTGCTTATATTTTTAGTGAGCTTTCCATTGTTATATCAGATTCCTATAAAATGTCTATTGGTTTTGTAAAAATTACTTCTTTCTGAAGACTTTGATATGTTTTTATTGTAATTTAGTTAAGTGCTTCTCAAAATTCTTCAGCTAGCTTCTTTTCTTTCCTTCTATATCATTTACTTTCCATATCATTTATTTTCTTTAGCATTTGTGCAGTTATTATTCATTCAGAAAGCACTTTAAAATCACTCTATGGTTATGTCTTTTTTAACCTTCTCTCTGTATTCCTCTGGAATTAGACTCATTTATATAGTAAAGATAATATTTCTACATAATAAAAAAAATTAAGAGATCAAAATCTTGAAGTCCTGTCTAACCCCTAAAGAGGTTTTCCTTAAAAGAGTAAGACCTTGAAGTAACTATGGAAATAGGAAACTGAAACCCACATTATTTTGATTATTAAACAAATTTAGCCACTTAGGGCCTAACTATACAAAATCCCACTTGTGTGATTTGCTGTTTGTGAGAAAATGACTATATCTCTTCCCTTCCCATAGTCCCTTCCTCATGCCCACAGGAGATGTCTTTAGTTACAAACGTTGTGCGCTCCCTCACAGTCACCTGGCTGTATCCAGTGGTTGTTCTCATTCCTCTGCCTGTAGCTGATCACATTTCCTGACAGCTCAGAGCCAATATTATTGTACCTTCTGGAAACATGGAGCCTTGTCACTAGAGAATGATACAGATATGCTTATGTTCTTCCAAGATCAAAGCAGAATGAGAATATCGCACTACAAAGAATCAGTGTGTCTTGTGTAGACATTTGCACTTACGTGAAAGTTCTTGAAGTTATTGGAAGATCTGGATTTTATTGATGGGGATGAGAGAAAAATAAAGAAAAGCTAACAATGAGACGTTACCATTAAATAGAAAAGAAAGTTTTAGTGACTGTATAAGCATCCCTTGCATTTCTGAAATTATTTAAGAACTCTGAAAGCTTATTTTATGATGCATATGACAGTTTCACCCATTTATTGATCTTGGTCTGTTTTTCTTCTATGTAGATTTTTCACACTGCACCAGACCCAAACGTTCCCCTCCCTCAGCCTCAGTCTCGATCTGGATCCCGAAGAGCCCGAGCAATTTGCCTCTCAACAGGCTCCCGGAAACCCAGAGGGCGGTATACTCCATGCCTAGCAGAGCCTGATAGTAAGTGTGCCTGGTCTTAGCGAGATGCTTTCTTTATTCTTCAATTCAGCCTGACCTCATGTCATTAGTAATTAGGTAGAAAGAGAAAATGTTCTCACTGATTCTATTTCCCCAGCACCCTTCTCCTAAAATTGATACATCTACAGTATAGTGGTGAGGTTCACTGGACAAGCAAATTCATTATTGCCACAAAGAAAAAAAAAAAGCTTACTCATTACTCTTTCTTCTGCAGCTACGATTAAGTACACTGGGTGCTACTTAGTAGCAGGCTTTATCCTGTTGTCAAAGTGGTAGATGAGAAACCAAGAGATAAGTCAGACTGAAATAGTCATTTTCTTTCTGTCTTTCACATTATGTTCTTAAAGCATCAGCTCTTGGTTGTCAAAGTATCTGAAAGAGAGAGAAAAAAAAAAGAAAATCAATACTATATAATATCATTAGCCACTTATCCTTAGCCATGCGCCAGCCTGGTGTAGCTGGAGCCCATAGCATACATTTAAACTGTGATCATTCTCATTTTATACACTCAATTCTTTTACATTTAATACAAAAAAAATTTAATGCAACAAAACATTAATACAACATTTGTTACAAAACCATCTGGTAATTTTTATTTCAAGTATATCTGAATGCTTTAATATGGTTTCTGTGATTGTTTCCTTTACATTTTCCTTTAAGGAACATTAAAAAGTAAACCTAATAAAACAGCCAATTGCTTAGCTTGCCATATTCTTAGCAGGAAAAGGAAAAACTTTCTTTGAAAATTTTGAACAGCTTGTGATTTGTGGCTAACGTTCAGTGCTGCCTTTGAATGAAGGAGGACTTATGTACATTGTAACTCAAAATTACCAATGATCAGAAAAGTAAAAGGAGGCAGAAATAGGTTTTAATATACCCTCTTCCACTGATTTCTTGCAATGTCATGAGGAAATCTTATTTCTCTTTTGATTCTTATTTCACAAGACAATTTTTGTCTGAATTCCATTCAGCCCACCAATGCTTCAAGGAGTAAAATTGTTACATAAGGACAGTTCATAGGACCATGTAGCACCCTTCTAGAATAGTATTGAAATATGCATTCACCAAGTATAAATGCATATTTTAAAGCCTTTCTTCTGCACTTCTTCAGCACTTCAGGACAGTTCTCCACAGCAGGTAAAGACCACCCATCACCCCATCACCTTGTAAGTGTGCTCAAGTGTCTGGCGAGCACATAGAAAGTTGAGAAGAGTGTGTGATGCTCTCACCAACATATAGCTACTGTTGCTTCTGTCTCTCTCCCTGCTGCTTTTCCTCAGGTGACTCCTATAGCAGCAGCCCAGACAGCACGCCCATGGGCAGTATTGAGTCACTCTCCTCTCACTCCTCTGAACAAAATAGCACTACAAAGTCAGCTTCCTGCCAGCCCAGGGAGAAATCTGGAGGGATACCTTGGATTGCAACCCCATCATCTTCCAATGGACAGAAAAGCCTTGGTCTGTGGACAACTAGTCCTGAATCAAGTTCTCGAGAAGATGCGATGAAAACAGATGCAGAGTCCGATTGCCAGAGTGTTGCCTCAGTCACCAGCCCAGGGGATGTTTCCCCTCCTATAGACCTAGTCAAGAAGGGGCCTTATGGGCTTTCAGGACTGAAAAGAACCTCTGCTTCCTCCCTCAAATCCATCTCTGCTTCTGAAGGTAAACCAAAGTGGAGCTTGTAGAAGTTGTTATTGTTTTAATGTCATTTGCTGGATTTTTCAGCATGATTAGGCAGAGATAAAGTTAATGGGAGAAACTAAGGATGCTTATCTACTTTGTTCCTGAGCTTGGATTTTAAAACCTTTTACACCATGACATTTTTCCTAAATCTTTCCATCTCTGTAAGGTGATGTCTTTGTAGATGTTTATCTCCCTGAGTGACGGGCTGCTGTGCCCAAAGAACATTCTGTACCGTCCCATTTAGTCTCAGAGAAAAAAAAAAAATACCCCTTTTGTTATGCACATGTACTATGTTATTACTATTATTTTATCTAAGTAGCACCTTGCTTATTTTCTTGGGCTTGCTTTTTAGGAAACAAGAGCTACAGTGGATCTATACAAAGCTTAACTTCTGTAGGTTCCAAGGAGACATCCAAAGCCACACCAAACCCAGAACTTCCTCCAAAAATGTGTAGGAGGTTAAGGCTGGACATTGCCTCAAGCAATGGCTATCAGCGACCTGGTTCAGTGTAAGTGAAAATGAGCTTATATTTGTTGTGTGTCCCAGGAATGCGCAGGAGTTGAGTCTATTGAAAAGCACCTTGGGAATTCCATACTTAAATGCCTCCTCTGTAGAGTGAGTAAAGTTAACTTCTGTAGGACTCTTTCCTATTCTAGAAAAAGAAGTGAAAGTTACTGTAGACTGCATATGTAGTCTCATTAGGCAGCATTCAAGCTCTTTCTGTAGAATAGAACTATGGCTTAAGTCCAAGAGAATAGGTATGTAATATAGTAGCTACAGGCTTGGGAACTAGAGGCTTTCCTGTAGAAGCTACACATCCATTTCTCAGTTCCCTCCTCTCTGTTATCAGTACAGCATCTCTCCAGCTTGTGAGATGTTTTTTTTTTTCTTTTATCCATCCTGTGTCTGCCCTCCCTCAGTGTTCCATGGTTTAAATAAGTTCATAGAGAACAAGGAACACAAAAGGCAAAGAGGAAAGAGTACTTCTGATCTAAAGAAATTACCACGGGTTTAAAGATGGATAGGTCATGGGTACATAGACATGATCAGAAAGACGTAAAGAGGAAAATGGAAACCAGCATAAGTAAGTCAAACAAACACATAAAGGAAAGGTTTCTCTCCCTTTCAGGCTGTGTTCCTGACAATTGCCAAACATTTGTTAATGCTATATGAGCTATTATTGGCTGTCTTTTACATATACTATCCTTTCAGTGGTTCACAGTATCCTGAAAGAGAGAATTTAAGGCCCTTTCTAGAAATGATAAGTGATCTTTAAAAGTTTAACAAATTAATCCACATACTCTTCAGCTAGTAAGTGGCAGAGCTGGAATTCCAACCCAGGTTTCTCTAATTTCATTTCTGTGTATCACACCCATTTTTAATATGATGGTGTTCCTGACATTTTTATTATTTGTGAAAAGTCAGGTACAACATTTTACTAAGCCTATTTCCATAGGAACAAGTCTTGAATTCATTTATCCATTCTTTTCTGTAACAAAAACCTATTAGTTATAGAGTTCAACATCCATTATTTCTGTAGGTCAGAAAAATAGTTACAGTGGTATAGACAGATATTTATAAATCTGGTCTACTCCCCAGGAGGCATAGTTTTAGCCATTATAGGAAATTAAATTTTAAGCCAGTATGTTGGGGAAGATGTGACAATATTTTTTCCATCCTTTGCGGAGGAAAAAGAAGAGCTTCTGTCATGGTTGTACTGACAGTTAAAATAGAAATTAAACTTAGGAAGTATATTCTATATTAGGTGTAAAATGATCAAGATTATCAAATGGCTTGTCCCTCTGAGAAGAGTTTGTGTATTAAAGAATAGTACATTATTTTAAATTTCACTTTAAATTGAATGGCATTCAAGGAATTTGATTTTCTCTTGTAAACATCAAAATTTGTCTAATCACTGAGGGAGTCTCTGGTTTGTGGTTATCATTTTATATCCAATAGCCTTACCTTTTCAAGTGAAATATTTCCTCACCCTACACATGTACGCCATGATTTGAAATAAAAGTTGAATCCAGAAGTTAATTTATTGTACATATTTTTAGGGTTTATAGTTCTCATGTTACAGGACATATATTCACATTTTAAAACCACATGAAATCACGCTAATATTAGGGGGTTTTAGCCATGGGAATGAACAGCAGTTCCTCTTGTGTCATGTTGATTTTATTCCTTGATTCTTGCCTGGTGGATCCAGAGGAGTCAATAACATGCTGCCTGCTGGGAGCAGAGTGGGTAGAAAATGTTCCTTTTAGTGTTCCCTCAATTTTCTGAAGTAAAAAGGATGAGGATGGTTAACAATCCCCACAAGAGGTAGTTGTAAACTGATTACAATCTGAGAATCATTGAGCTAGAGGCTAGAGCTAAAAGCCTTCTCACATTAAAGCTTGAAATTTGGCTCCAATTTTGATGTGACTCTTGTTTTGTTAAAATGATAATCTTGAATTTCACATTGAGCGGAAAGATTTTCTGATTGATTTCATGAAACATGTCTTTTAAAATTATTTTTCAGAGTGGCAGCAAAGGCTCAACTATTTGAAAATGTTGGCTCACTTAAGCCTATTTCATCTGGGCGGTAAGTCCTCAAAAACTTCAGAAGCAATAAAAAAATGTAACAGTGGTGACGGTGTCTTGTGGTAAAGTGACAATATTTGTGACAGCTGTGCCCTCAGCTTTGCACATAGTCAAATGCATGGCCCTTTATGTGGAGATCATGTCTGTAACAGCATTTAGCACCTCGCATTGTTACAGCGATACCTGCTTTGCTACAATCTTTTCCAAAAAGACAATTCTAAACAGATTACCTAAAGGACAGAAGTTGCCATAACTCTCTGTACATCTTTAATGACAGTCACTTTGAGAACAATTTTCAAAAGAATATTCTTGACTTCTAAAAGTTATGTTAAGTTTCTCTGGAAGAATCTTCATGGACATCCATTGTAAAATGTGCTTTTTCTTAAGGACCCCTGAGTATGATAGAGCTAATTGCCCCAGGTGCCCATTTTTTGAGTACAGAGCTTCACTCAGGGTTTCCAGACTTTACATTAATCATTAAAAGGATATGAGTTACTACATGGAGTGCTTCCTTCTTAAGTTTCTGCTTTCTTCTTCTTCCTTTTTAATTGATTCTTCTAATCTACCATGGGCTTTTATTTTTAGTATGAATAATGGGATTTCATGAGGGTGATACTTTTCTAATGTTTTCTTTTAGAGGAGGTACTTGAGAGTTGCTTGTTAAAGGAGCATGTAAGTGAGAGAACTGGAAACACAAACCTTGATTTTTCCTTTGGCTGTACTTGTTTCCTAAGTCTGGATAATTAAGTCTAGGAAATAAAGGAGTCATGGATAATTGAATTACTGCTGCATATGTCTTCTAAAAGTTATTCATTCAACAAATTGCTGTTAATCTTGTAAAAATATGTAGACTTTCCTAGTAAGTATTTCTTAAGTAATACTAGACATGGGCTAGTTATTAGGGATCACAATGACCTTCAAACTCTTTTTAGCTTAATTCAAAGCTTGCTGAGGTCCTTTAAATTTTGGTTTGTTGTTGTCAGTGGTTGTTCTGGTTTATTTATTTATCTTTTTTAATTCCAGAGAGTAGAATCATTGTGGTATCACTAGGACAGTGCATTTCTATAGTCAATCCTAGAGCACTTCATACACCTTCCTTATCTCTGTCCACAGCATTTTCATCCTCTTTCTTTTTTATCAAGGCAGGATGAAAACAAGCCCCTTGTATATCAGAGCAAACTTCATTCTTCTGAGATTGTCATTGCTGTTTGGCCTTACTATGAGGGATTTAACCTTGCTGCACTGTCCTGTTATGTGGTAAATGACTCCACTAGATGGAGCCTTTTTATTAGGAAGCTCTAGAGCAGTGATGGCAAGCAAACCTTTTAGAGCTTTCAGTGATAGCAAACTGTGACACGTGCTGTAGGTTCACCACTGCTAGACTCTATAAGTAAAAACTCAAGAACAGTCCTCTCTTGGTATTCATGGGGGAGTGGTTCCAAGACTACCTATCACCAAGATATAAAAATCCACATATTCTCAAGTCACTTCTGTAAAATGGCATATAACTACATATATATATATATATATATATATATATCATATATATGATTGATATATATATATATCTGTATATTTGACCATCTCTAGATTATGTGTAATACCCAATATGAATGCGGTATAAATAGTTGTAGCTGTTTTCTTTAGGGAGTAATGGTAAAGATTTTGTACATTTTCAGTACAGATGAATTTTTCTCGGAATATCTCAGTCTGGTTGATTGAGTCTAGATAGGGCATCAACAGATAGAGTGCCAACTGTGCTGTAATCAGAAAGGTCATCTGACAGACCCTTAGGAAAATAAGCTATTAAGAAAGTAATTTAGAAAGCTGTCATATAATAAATATATTTAGAGGCTGGGGATTTAGCTCAGTGGTGCTGCCGCCTGCCTTGCAAATGCACGGTCCTGAGTTCAAGCCTTGGTACCATAAAAAAAATATTTTTTTTCAGATGTTCAGCAGTCAACTTGTGCATTTTAATATGCTTACACATTCTAAATATTCTAAATCATCTTATAATAAATGTTAGCATAAACTTGGTGCTCACCTGTTCCTTTAGGATTATTCTGAGCTTGCCAAATTGTTATGAACATATGTACTTGAAATACATGACAGGTGTTCTGTGTGTGGTTGTTATATTAATGAATATTATTGCCATTATTTTGAACCTCCTTGCTGAAGAGGTATTTGGGGTATTTGGGAAATGCTTTTAGTTAAGAATCAGGCAAAGAAGAGTGAAAACATTGGTCAGTGAAAACATTAGCCATTAGAAGCTGCAAAAAAAAAGTCCAGGCAATTAGGAGAGGATGATAGTGTTAACCCCATTATTGGAAATGTTTAAGAGAATAATTTCAGTGGTTCAGGAGGGGCCATCCTACAAGTTTGGTTAAAATGGAAATTTTGCCACAGACCTAGAATGTCTTAGACTGAGACCCAGAAAATCTGTATTTTGGCGAACCTCCCCAAATGATTCTTACATGTATGCAAACACATGAGAACCAGTGGAGTGGAGAAAAATGCCCTTTCTACACCTAGTGTATAGCATTAAGTAAGCAGGCACAGATTATTTACAATTGTTTTTCTTTAACCTGTAAAATACCTTCAACAGCTAAATATCTCTAGGGTCACCATTACAACAAATGTAGAGAAAAACCCCAAAGCTTTCCCACCCCATTTCAATCTATTAGACTCCAATAGAGGGAAGATCATTCTTAAAGTCCTGTACTGTAGGAAGCCTGTACAAATATCTTCTGACTGAAAGCAGAAGCACTTGAGAGTTGAGATTTAAGTGCCTGGCTTCTTATAAACTGTCAAAAATTTCAGTCGCCATAATCTGAAAGACCAATATTTTGATTATATTTATGAGTAAAAAAAGCTCAATAAAGTTTTGACCAGTGAGTTTGAATTTTAAGCACGGAAGTCATTGTTGTAGATCATGTTAACACATTTAAGGTACACATAAGATATAGAAAACACCATAGTACATGTGAAGAAAAAGAAATCATGATTTTAAAAAGTGATTTCATTTTCTTTTATTATAGAAAATGTGGAGAATACTAATAGACTAAAAAAGTAAATAAAAACTACTTCTAATTTCATCATCTTCATGAATCTAATTATTATTAAATTTTGGTACACAGTCAATCTCATCTATGACAGTGATCCTCAAACTTTTTGGTCTCAGAACACCTTCATAAACCTAAATTAAGGATCCCCAAAAAGTTTTCATGTGGGTCATATCTTTTGCTATTTACTATCTTACAGATTTAAGCTAAGACATTTTTTTTAATTTAAACTGAGAAAAATGTAAAATCTTTAATTAGAATAGCAAACCCAGTATATATTAATACAAATACCATAATTTTTATGAAAGATATTTTCAAAATAAAAAGTTGCATTATTTTACATTTTATATGTTTAATATCTGATACAATTAAGAATAAATCTTCACATGCCTTCTGTTACTGTCAGAATAGTGATGTCTTAGGCTCCCACCTGCCCCTCTTCCTGCCTCAGGTTTGAGAACTACTCAGTGATAAACACACACAAAAGGATCCATGAAGGTGTTGGTTACTGTGCCACTCCAAACACAGTATCTAACACAGAATAGATGCTCCATAAGGTTATAAAATACCATTTTAATCAAAAAATAATTTGTTGCTCACTTTCTTGTTTCACTTTCATGAGAGGTATCATTTACCTATGTAAGCAGCTTTAACTCTACACTCTCAACATGGAAGTTTTTTAGCACTGAGACGGCCAACACTCTCCCAGATATCCAAGCCAGATGAAGCTAGTATTTGTTGAAAAGAAAAAAAAAAAAAAAAAAAAAAAAAAAAGGGAACAAA